AATGATTCTCGGTTACTAAAATCGTAAACTTTTATCGAAAAGTGGGTTGTTTAACGTTAAATCCCGATTGATTTTTTTTATCTATCCCTTCAGCTTTACCATAACTTCCCTTATTGTTCTACTGCGCTAATGAGGTCAGACGGAAAATGCAGCCACTTCAATCAAATTACTAGTCATTTTTCAGAAAAATCATTTTTTTTTTCATTTCTAGAACATTAAATAAAAATTACTGTGACAAATAAACACAAGATATTAGACAATAAAGTATGATAAGGGAAAAAATTCTGCCTTTCGAACATAAATAGAATAATCAAGGACAATATTTTGTGCAAATGCAGACCTCAATTAGGAGTAATGAAAAAATGTATTATACCTTATGTGATTATACTAATTATCAAGTTATGTAGGGAAGACGTCCAGTAACGGTCTTGATATAAGGCGCAATAGTATGAGGAAGGTACCCACCAAAGACAACGGAAACTGATTGTGAAATATCGTGCATCGATCGAAGTTACACTTGTACATCATTGGATCCCGAGTCAATAGCCTAGATTTTTATGGTTCGCGTGCGAAACCAAAGGGCGTGGATTCGACTTACGTTTGTGTGACCGTAGAAGCGCACTGCTGAGTAGTTCCAGACTAGGATGAATCGACCGTCCAATGCTTTCCAATTTTCAGTGGTTGTCTAAACTAGACTGATTCATGACTTCAAAAAAATATTGCTTTAACTGAAACATTTAGGACATTACAGTGAGCATTTACAAGATGATTTACGTCAAAATGTATTGTCACCACAATAAATTCAATGACTGACAGACTGCTTAACACGTTACTGACGAGAATTTCGGTGATGATAATACGCTTCAAATAAACGTGAAATATGAAGAAAAAATAGATTGAGATCGTGAATTGACCACTGTTGTACCACCTTTGAAAACCTGGAAGCACTGGACGGTTGTTTCGTTCTAGTATGGAACTCCTCAGCAGTGCGTGTCCATAATCCGACACACGGGATTTGAACCCAAGACCTTCGGTCCCACGCGCAAACATTGATCTACTCATGGACTCAGTCAAAACTCAACAATTTCCACAACAGCATAATGAAAATAAACGGACTTCAAAATATTGTCTAATTTTTTAGTAGGAAGCGGTAAATGATTTTACAAGATTTACTATTTTTAAGTCACATAGATCAAAAATTGCAGCAGCGATTATCTATTGTCAAATATATGGAGAAAAACACTGGAGCACCTAAATGTTAACGAAACTGAAAAGTGTAGCTCATGGATTTTATAGATTTCTGATAAATAGAGAACGGTACAGCAATAAACTTAACAAGGCACCAAGAAAGTGGGCATAACTTTTTCAAGTAACAGTAGACGCTTTTCCAGTCTTTTACCAATAAATTAGTATTGTTTTACATCAAACCAATCAAAATGTTATTTATAAATTTGATGTATGGTAAAAATAACGAAAGTTAGTTGTCTCTGAGATGTTGCATGGGTTTACAATTCTTTAGATATAACTAACTGTACAGTATTTTGAATCAGTACAGATGATATAGATTTACACTAGAACAAATAACTGATAGATTAGTAACATCTACCTGAAACTAACTATATTGCAGGGCAAATTAGTTGTTTAATTTATTGAAAATATCCTACGGAAATTAAACTCATGTTTAAAATATCAATTAATACGCAATCTACACGAATTGAGATAAATTGTGATCGAGAAAAACGAAAACTATGAAGGTAATGACGTCCGACTTCTATGTTTTATTATGATAAACGTAAGGGGAAAATATCACCTGAACAAGCATTGATAATTTTAAAAATGTAAAGAATCGTCTCATCATAATTAGTACACCTTAATAGTATACAGAGCAAAGATGGGCAGTAGTTACTCACCTACAAAACTGAAAGTTGACTGTCGAACTCCCCTGCTCAATTCAGTCAATGCAGTGGGACTATCATGCAATGAAGATATTCATCAACCCCAGACCAGTAGCTACAGATTAATATTCAACTAGTTTAAAAAAATATAGTTAATTTTAACTGTGTAGTTATTTACTCAATGACGCTACCAAACGGAACATATGGGGAAAATTACTTCAGTGCCTTTCCTCGTGTTATTAATGGCTAATAGAAAAAGCAAAACACTGATTATTTCTAACTATGAACAGCGATAATTTTATCCTGTATTGAAATGAACAGAAGCTGGCCCCTCCCCCCAATAATACAAGAGCTTTTGACCGTTAGAAGTTTTTAATCGACAGATTTTTTAGTTTATTTCATTAAAAAAGGAAATCTTAAACGACTACTGCATGAGAACTCGGGTTTTTCAGGATATTTCAACTCTGGACCAACAGAAATTTGTATCATTTGGTAGTATGTATTTGATCCATTAGATCCAGGTGCTTTGGAAATAAAATCCTTCAAAATACATTGCACATTACAAGCGCTATTCCTCGCGAGTATCAAGATGTTTCATCAGTATTTCTTGTGATATGAGCGAGTGTCTGCTACTGAGATCTGGACTTCATACGGCCAGAGCGATTCAACGAGTGTAAGTTTATCCGTCCAGTTAATCCACATTACTGATTTAGACTGAGAGAAGTCTTATTTCACCTCGGGGAAAATATTTAGGACAAGAGAAAAGCTGCGATGGAATACTGGTAATGTAAACCGTAACTTAATGTCTGAAATTGAAGATATCAATCCAAAGCCACATCAGTAGCATATTAATGGCTGGGTGAATGTCGAAATCAACTACGTCCAAACCACAATAGTTAAGGTAACTAAATAAAATTATTACAAGCATCAAACTCTTAGTTGATCGCAAATTTTCAGATAAAATAACTTATGTTGTGTATTTGATAGTCAGTAATAAAATATGGATATATCTTCCGGTCAGTGAACACAATTGTCACATTTAAATAAATATACACAACTTGTGTTGTTAGTAAGCAGGCATGATCAGCCTGCATGAAGAAGTGAGATAATGATCCATCATTTTTTAAATAATCGTGAGTTACTGGGCTAGATGTTAATGATTATACAACTTAGTGTTTTGAGATACTACGAGATATAACCAAGAATAGAAATTAGTAGCGATTAAGAGGTAGTCTATTACTGTGCTTCTAAAATGAACGAAATCCACGTTGATTTTTTGTATATTAAATTAAGCTTTTAATACTTCATGTCATTAGTTTTATTTTCGGACTTCTAGTGGTTTATTTCTTTACATTATTGTCGTTTGTTTTATAGTATTATATAAACCGGTCCTGAACTATACCAAGGATACATATTATAAATTTCAGTTGAAATAATATTGAAAATATTGTCAGTAAGCCAAGCTGCCTATTTCGTGTGGACTAGTGACTTGCAGATTCGAAAAACGTTTTAACAAACAATTGTGAGGTATTCTATAAAAAAAAACTAAAGAAATATTAATCAATACCTTAACTACTTATGTTATAATTACTAAGTGCTGCAAATAATCAACCAGTTGATTTTTAATTTGAAATTAAGCTATTTTCGAACTTTAACAGACAGTTCCATTAGGGGTCAGTTTTTGAATAAAGCACGAGAACATTATTTTGCTGCTATCTGATATTCCAAATTATGAAGGAATTGATAGCATAGTGGAGATTTGTAAAATTAATAATATCGTTCCTGAAAAAATTTTATTTTCAGCTAAAATGAGTACTAATGTCATCATAACAAGACCTATTTTTATAGTTGGAAAATTCAGTATGGATAACTGAAGGTAACACACAAAATGATTTTATAAATTCGACAAAATTTTTAGTGGAGTCTGCAAAGTTGTTCATTAGAAATAGAAAAAGTACTACACAGATGATAATTCTTAAATAAAAACTGTATTCAATATACTTAATTGACAGGGCACCCAAAAATAGGGTTTACTTCCATATGATCAGAAGTAATTTCAAGCCAAGTTAGCTGATATTATGGAGTGGAATTTCACGCTACTAGGGAAACGCCACCTGATGATCCCAGTCAACTAACACACTAAACCTTTGTGGGAGCGTATTCGGTAAAGACAATAGAAAATGTATTTAACGCAAAAATGTCAAGGAAAAATAATAAAATATGTTGTTCAATAAGTATAAATGTACACACCACCCACGGTCTCCTAAGTCTAGGTAATTTGCACAACGATTTTAATTGATCGAACTTTGGGCTTAACAACAAAAAACTTGAAAAAATATTTCTGAATACCGGAAAAAACCTGGAGGGGACTGTTGTGGGGTTTAAATCATTTGAGAAAAGTAACTTCATGAAACGTTTTTGTCAAACATTTCTCAAAACGTTCAGAAGTCCTTTACAAGACAGATTCAGGAACAGCGAGGCTCTGATCTGATAACTTTTGCCCCTGTCTTATTGACTGCATAAATAAAAACTAAATTCAAAACAATCACGGGGAAACATAACTAGTAGCTCATAAAATTGTTTACGCGATTTTGTTAAATTAGTCAACAGCCAAATAATGTACGAATGGTGTATGAGTAAACAAGCTTAGTTTTTAACCGGATAGCTTTTGTGGGCTAAATATAATTAAAAACAATGAACTAGTTTGCGGAAAAGTGTGCGTTATGTAATAAGACCTAAACAAAATAAGACGGTCGAAATCGGGAAATATACACCATCTATAACAATTCCGCCAAAAAGGAACTATTTGAAAAGTATGGTGAAAATCACTACACCGAATAAGCTAGATATTATGCGGAGCAAAACTTGATGATAATCAATGAGCAGAAACGAGACCGTTACTTTTTTATTCCAGCCCATTAACAATAGTTTTTAGAATAGCTCATCTACATCATTGACAGGTGTCAAGCACAAAACCTAATTTGAACAGTTTAAGTATGATTGACATTAAATGTCAAACACCAGATACGATCCACGATCAACTGAATTCTAATAGTATTATAGACTGAAAGACTACATTCCTACGTTCAAGCCAACTTGTCTAAATAATATTCAACAAATATATTTGTTTAAGAAATTTAGGAAAATAATCATGAAAATAGTTCTTAAATGCATTCAATAAAAAAAATCTGTCTAAAATGCAAGTTAAAAACATTAGAAAAAGGCAAGATAAAACAATTCTTCAAATATAAAAGTTACTCAATAAAAGCAACAATAACAACAGCGTTTTACAACAAATAAGTGATTAAGACAAGACATTAAAAACAAAAACAACGACAATATTAACAAGTGACAGTATATAAAAATCGAGAAATATCACAGTCAGAAATTAAAAAAAAACAATAAAAGATTCACCATAAAACTCAGGTACAATAAATAGCTATACATTTAAAAAGATAACAACACAATCAAGCAGAGACAACGTGAATCGATTGACATCGAAGAAACACTTGGAATGGACACAATTTGCACCCGATGACAGTTCCTACCTTCCGGGCTGAACTTTGATATTTAACAGCTTTCTTTGTGTCGGCCTTTGCACTTTCAATATAATCCACTGCTTGTTCTACGTTGTATTCAATTCGATCAATCATCTCGCCCTAAAAGAATAGTTAATAATTTATGGTTATGTATATATTTATGGGCAACAAGAGACTGAATTTTCTAAGGCTGAGTAGTGATTTTATAATGTACTTTATGATTGGCTAGTTTTGGGCTGAGCGTATGAATACTTTCTTTTTTAAATGGAATTTATAAATTAAAAAAGTAATTAATCAGCAGTGTATTTTCATACTGAATATGCAAATCTGAGTACCAACCTATGGATGCGAATAGAATTATCATGCTTTGTTTAGTCAGGATACTTTCAAATGCGCAGCTACAAATATGAGAAAGTCATATACAATCGCACAACTGTATTGTAAGTAATTTTCTATCAAAAAAGTCACTAAACTCTTTTACGATAATGTTTCTACATCAGAGGTTAAGCTTATTCACGAGAGTGAATCTAAAAAAAAATTGAGGTCACAGGGTGAAAGCATCAGATAAATGAAGTTGAAAATCAATAACTCGATTTGTGAATTGTTTTGCAGTATACTAAATTAGTTAGGCGAAATTCAAAAAAAGAGGATTAAAAGTCATTATAATTAAAAACTTAATTACCAGTAAATATGTAATTTATGATTTGAGTAAGGTAAATTATATGATAAGTGAGAAGTTAGTTAAAAATCAAAGTAAATAACTTATTTTGTACGAAGGAAAATATTTATTCTGGTATATATCAAGTAGACTGGAAGAAAAGAAGCTCTGTAATATAAGGAAAACTAGGTGAAAATCTTTAAAAGATTCTTGGTAGATCCGTAAAAGATTCTATGATTTTGAATATGTCAAGTAGACGTTTTCGTTAAAATTTCCCTAAAAAGTAGTCAATTTAAGACCTAGTAGTTCAACAGTGACGTTCGAGTATTTTATATTTTGTAGTAGTAGAAAGCACGATAAGACCTTGAAGAAAGGGAGTTGCAGTCAACGTAACTTGATTAACCAACTAGATTCAGATAAAATATGATAGCATTAGAACCTGAGTGTGTAGAAACTAAGCTAATCAAAATAAGTAACGAAAAACTCAACTATTTGGAAGCATACGTTTACACATAATCACATAATAGAGTTGGATAAAGCCACTCTCTTAAAGATCAATATTGTCTGTAACGAGAGACAGACCATCAAATGTTTTATTCGATTAACATCCAAGATGTACACTAGTATTACGTAAGTAAAAATTTTTTAATATTTGAAAAATTTAACGACCAGTAAAAGTGGAGTAGGAAGTTTTAGGATTACGTGAACTTAGTTGTAAAAGTGTGCGACTAACTATCTAAAGTTAAGTCAGTATAAACTTAAATAAACAACAGTTGGGCAAAAAAAAATTTAACTCCCTTATAAAAATAACTACGATTTGACAAAATGTTGATTTTAGTATATTTCGAATCATTAATGATACGTTCGAGTGCTATAGGACAGTGAGCAGGAGGACCAGAAGATTGGTAAAGTTATTAAGAAGTTGGAAATAAAGTCTTTATGACCAACCTGACTTTCAACAAGCATTGCCATATCCATGAACATATCATGTAACTCCTTAATACTCTTTTCGAGTTTCATAATGTCTTGATGTCGAGCTTCAATATCTGCCAGAGACTGTTTTGCTTGCTGAGTATCCGTCATGATCTGAAACAGCGGGTAAAAAAATGAGAATCAAAAACAGACTTTATGGAAAATCGAAAAGGGTCAACAAAGTAGTTTTATTTGAAAAGATACTTATCAAAGAGATAATCAGTAAATGAGACTCTAAGTCAGAAAGAAAGACAAAACGAAAACATATCCATAAATCTGAATTAAGAAATCAATCCTAATGGGTAAATAAATACTTCTTAAGGATAAACTAAACGAACCAGGCAAATGAATCATTCACTAATCACAGTTTAATTTATTATCTAACGTGCACAGGAGTGGATGTTGCAGTAATGGCATATGTCATTGTTGGGAACCAGTCATCTACACATATATGCATCCGGTTCAAGTTGCCATACCTCATTAGCACAACAAGATGAGCACCAAACTTGCATTCATAACTACAACTATTTTCAGGATGATGTCGGATTTGTGTTAAACTTACAAATGAAGAATAACCTATACCCTTATTAGGTAACCTCCGACATTTACCTTTGATTCACTTTTTTGAAAATAAATGGAATAGAAAACGTGTTTTCTCTTATTCTTTAGATCTAATTAATCACTTATTTCATACAGCTACCAAATCCAGAGTATGCTGCTTCATATAAGTGGGGTGACAACTTCCACATATTAATTATAGTAATATCCCTGAAGAAAGGAATGAGTCTCAGAACTAAAACCAGAATACGCGGACTAAACAACTTTTTTATTTATCTGAATTATTGATTTCCTTAGACTGGATTTATTCTTAACCTTCACATTTAAAATGATAATCTGCAAGGGGTTATTTAAATGGTCGGCAACAAATAACCATTAAAAACCATCGTTTATGAATGTAAGCTGTTACTCGTGAGTGTTGACGATGACTACCTACGAGTTAAGGATACAGAGTTAAACAATATCATAGTTGGACATATGATAAAAAGCGAAGTGCACGTCCTCACTAATAGCGGTCAGTAAAAATGTAGATTATACTTATTAAAGACCATAAGAATGACTAAGCTAACTGGAAAATAATTGTGAAACATACTGAAAATATCGACAAAACCAGATCAACGAATCGACATCACTGATCCTACTATTCAACGAATAACATAAATGTGCAGAATGAATGTTGCAGGTTGAGCTTTACTTCATTTGTTACAATAAAAAATTCTAAGTTTTCATACATATGGGCTTTATCCAAGCAAACATAAATAATATGTGCATTGGCATAAACGTCCATCGGTCATTTACTTGGTATTTTATCGCTTATGGTCATTGTATAAACTTCTTATCGGTTTATGCATTAGTTTCATTTAAACATTGAAGTGATCTGCACCTATCAAGATGAGCTTTAATAAGTGACTAATTTAGCTGCCGAAACAGGCTAACGTCCCTCCTTACGTTTGGTTGAGTTATTAACTGCGGCTATTGATGTCATTACACCAGACTCGGAATAAAAATCATCCTCTTCTTCGATCAATTGCCTAGCTAATTTTGTACAAATGTATCCTCGGTATTTACATCATTAAGATGGAATAGATGACGTTTTTTATTTTTATTTTCTAATGTTTGGTGAGATCCAGACATCTATTTCTTTGTATAAAGCAATGTGTTGAAACACATATGTGTCTTAAAACGACCAACAATCAATCAGTCCGTAACAACGTGGAACTTCGTTCGTACGTACATCAGTTCGAGTTGCCATACCACATTAGCAGAGATGTAGTGGTCGATTCAAATCCCGTAGTGGTAGAGGTAGTAAGAGTACAAGCAGTAATCGGGAAGATTAGGGTTTGGAGATGTTATTTAAAGAGTATAATCCAGTGAAATAAATTTCGGAAGAGAAAAAAGAGACAAGGAGGAATCAAGAGATTAAAATTTGGGAGAACACAAAGAGTGTATGCACCTGCGCCATTGCAAACGATTTTGAGCCATGTCATTCAGGGTCTCTAACCATCGGTTGCTATCATCTCGCGGTCCCCAACCAGGTAGTCTACACCTACCAACATGACTCAGTCCACTTGTCAGTGACTTCATGGATTTGTGGTATGTTTTGGTCTGGCCGTCCCTAGCTTCCTCTTCCAACCTACTCCCACACCATAAAACGTCGCTCGTCGGGGCAGTTGGTGGTGGGGCAGACATAACACGTCACAGCCACCTCAAATGACGAAGTTTTGCTACTTCATCAATTGATTTGCCATCCTTGCCTAGTACCCGTTTCCAAACAACTGCATCACTTAGTCGGTGGTCCAAGGATATACGAACAATGTTTCGAAGACACCTATGATCGAATACTAGTAGCCTACGGATATCCTCTACTCTTACCGGCCACGTTTCACTGCCATAAAGTAGGACGGAACCAACTGCTGCTCAGCAAACACGTCCTTTGGTTGATAGACGGATATCTCGCCTACGCCATAAATGACGCAAGTTGACAAAAGCTAGTCGAGACTTCTGTATCCGTGCTGAGATTTCATCACACACCAGACCACAAGGGCTGATGAGACTTCCAAGATAAGTGAAGCGGTCGACACACTCAATTACTTCACTCCCTATCACTAGTTCGGGTGTCAATGCCACCCAATCCTGAAGCAAAATTTTGCATTTCGAGGGAGAGAATCGCATCCCGAACATGCTTGCATTGTTGCTTAGAGTGGTCAGAAGACTCTGCATTTTGTCAGCGTCTTCACCAAATAGAACTATGTCATCAGCATATTCTAAGTCAACAAGTGAACCTCCCGGTAGAAGTTCAACCCCTGGAAATCTAGACGAGGAAAGTGTTATCTCTAAAAGTACGTCAATAACAAAGTTAAACAAGAAACGATCAACAATGTCAAACTGACTTTTGTCAGAGAACGCTATGTGATATTTTTGTGACTGCTAGTATGTTGGTGTAGGTCGTCAGGATGAACAAAACCTTCGAGCCTGGAGTCGTTATTCATTGTAATACAACTGACTGACATCATCATTATTTGGTGAAATGTCAAAAGCTCCACCTAGGCAGCTCTATACAAAACTTACATTATCTACTAAGATGTTAAAGTTAGCCACTACAAAGACTACATATGAGCACCTAGGGTGGCATAAATTACGCATCTTTTGGTACAACTTATATTTTATTTCATATGGACTAGTCAGTGGAAAAAAAACATGATTTTTGCAAGTTTTATACACTTTTATTAAATTGGATAGCATGTAGCCAAATTTTACTGAAATCTAGTGCATAAGTATGTATTTGGCCCACATTTTATAAAGAGCAGTTCTATTTGACAACACAGAGGAATAGTTGAGTCAATCCCGAATCGACAGACGACCTTTCATTAAAACTCGAAGGCATACCTCTTCAGATTAGTAACTAGTGAGTTTGCTAATCATCCTTATTGCAAACATTAGAAAGTGTGAGCGTGAACCTCTGAGATCAATCTCCCCTCTTTATTACTGATTTTTCAGTTGATTTAAGTCTGTTATAACAGGTACATAAAAGAAGATAAAACCCCACAAATTTACCCAATTAAATGATGACCTATATGTTGGAATAAGATTTTTTGGGACAATATGTCATCCAAATTATCTTTTAACAGTGAGTCAAGTGAGGGAATTACTTCAGTAAATTATACACTTATCTTCAGGCAAAACTTTTTATTTCTAACAACCAATAATAACTCACGTTACTTGAACAGTGAGCATTAAGTGCAGTTCAGAAACTTATAATGCTGTTTTAAAGAATCACTTTGAAGTCACGCCCTTTGTCAGATGACATCGGTTACCTAATTCCGAACTACGGATGACTGAGAACTGTTTGCTTTTTGTATGAGAAATAATTTGTTTGTTTATATGATACGGAACGAAAATGCTGGAAAATTAGGTTCTTCAATCTGTATTTAGAAGTCACTTAATTATTGACTACTTAGTGTGATTATTTTTCAACATCAAATAAAACTAATGAGGTTATTGAGCCACTTTTAATATTTTTTACGATATAAATCCAAGCGAAAGCCCCCGATAATACTGGTAATGATTGTACAACAGAACATCTGTTGGGGTGATGTCGGAATAATAACACATTAACAGAATTAATGAGTATTTCACAGAATTAGCTTTACTATCGGATCAAGAATAAATCAACAATTTTTACTTTTGATAAAAAATTAAATGCGCTCCCCAATTTTACCATCGCAAAGTTGTTCTTAATGACTATTTTACTCCGGAAAACATAAGTACATACTTATAATATGCACAACCAAACAGAGATAGTACCACATTAAAAGTTCTAAATTTGATAGTACTACTTTATTTATAATATTTATGTTTCAGAGTGGTGTTTAGAATAAAAAGCAATTTCAGTGGATTCAGTCAAAGTTTCGTACATATTATGCGCAAAATGATAGCGATGAGATATTAAACCGTACACGCAAAATATCCCAGCCATAAATTTTATGAAGAGCACATCGATACATAATTTTCCGTCAGTTGACTGGCAAATATTGATTTAAATATGAAATCAGTACGTCACCTCAGTATCCTCTTGTTTAATTCTTTAGTTCTCGAAGGACTTTACACGTACCGTTCGCTAGTAACCGTAACTGCTACATAAAGCGATGTATTAGTATAGAACAAAAGATCCCGAAGTTCCGTATTACGGTAAGAATTTCATAATTGAAATTATTCCATGACAATTAATACGACAGAAAACTACTAGCAGTATCAAGGATCTTAACTAACGAAATAAATATTTAAGTGTGTGGAGCGATAACATATTGATTAAGACACTCAATATTTGAGTACTGAATTGTCAATTTGAACTCGGTTTTACTTCTGTTAAACTATCCAGGAATCGTACTTGACTACCGAGTCGCACTATTTATCATCTCTAGAACATTTTGAACGATAGTCAGAAGCCTTAGAATAGCAGAAATGAATACCGAACACAGAGGGTTAGAGACTTTGAATGACATGGCTAAAATCGTTTAAAATGGCGCAAGTGCATCCATTCTTTGGTTTCCCCCAGATTCTGAGATTCTAAATTCGTCATAACTTTCGTTAGTTTTTAATTCACGAACATATATTTTTCTTCAGTGGTTGCGCACTGCTGAGGAGTCCCACAATAGGGAGAGACGGCCGTTCAGTGCTTTCAAGCTTTACATGGTGGCTGTTATATCCCCATAAGAATAGTGAATGTTAACTTTTGAGATCCATTTATACTATAAGTATATTTTCATTGTATAATTGTTAAATGACTAAAGTGTTCATATTCGTGTTCCTTTTATTATAAGCTTTGTTTTGGCCTATGAACTATTATCATACGATTTACCATTCTTGAGTTATGCCCTACCTATCAATTACTATCTCCCTTATTCACAACCATATTTGGCTGCTTGTACAAATGTTGTTTCCTATTTTATGGTATGATGTGGTCTGTCTGGTTGGTTTATAAACCCAGTATTTTTGAAATACATGATTCATATCGCAGAGGCTGAGGTTGGTGTTCTAGACTCAACTGGCTGGGCTAGGCAGGAAGCAAGACCGATAAGTACTCTAGACTGCTCGTAAGGGTATTATACGTCATTGATCCAATCGATAATTCACTGCTCTCTAATTAGTGGTATCATCCCGTTATACGTTATCAGGGCACACAGGCCACAAGTTATAACAGTGGCCTAGCTTCAATTGACTCATGATCTCAACCTCTAAAATTACTATAATATCTACAAAACCCCTTCTGATATAATTTCTCTTGATCTTTAGCTTCAATGTCTAATTTTCCTTATTGCTACGGAGACTACTACTATTATTCTGGGGTTTCGCCTGACAATTTTATCTCTCTATGCTAACGGGGTATGGCAACTTGAACTAGTGTAAATACATACCAGGTCCTACGTTGTGACTGACCGACTGGTTGCCCAAACAGAGCTTAAGACGCAATGAATACGTGGAGCATAATCGCTTGATATGAAACGTAGTTCGAAAGTTGTCGGTGATCAGTGAAGATATGCAAAGTCACACGTTAAGTCTCGTAAAATGTTATTGAGAACTTAACTATCCTTAAACATGAAAAATTATTCTCAAAAACGTTTCTTATCTTAGCGCTTTACTTTACTATAAAAGAGTTCATCTATACTGACAATTGACCTACTAGATATCAGCTTTAGTAAAAAAAACTGCATGTGATTGTGGAAAGTTTAGGAATTACTAAAACGACTGTCGATTATTATCAAAATGGGTTGCTAGGATTAAAAAATTTGAGAAATATAGAGTAATCAGTATAATGTTTGACAATTAAAGGGACTGGTAATATAAGTACACATATCATTTCTATAAAGTGGGTCAGAATAATAAAGTTACGTTATAAACTAAATTCGAACAAACTAACTTCTTGTGTAAAAATGGCAGGATTTCCAGATTCTAACATATCCTCCAATTCTTCATTAGAAATCTTTCTCTCAGCTAAAATGAAAAGTTACTCCCCATTAAAAAAATTAAAGTACACACTATGTGTAAAACAAAAAATTGCTTTATTTAGTCTCTCTCTCTCTCTCTATATATATATATATATATGTTCGCAACCACATATTAAAAACTAATTTGCAGTACTTCACTGGGATTCAATACACAACGGTGGTGCCTTCTTGAGTTTTGACAAGAAGTCCCTATATTTAGTTTATCATAATTCACGTAAAAGTATGGGTTTAATAAATGTAACGACAAAAGACGTTGCATATAATTATCTCCGTTTTAGAACACCATAATTAGTTCTAAAGGTTGTGGCCGGACTGTAGAAGTGTGTTGATATAGGTAGCTACTCAAAAACTACCAACAGGTTTAATGTATAAAACGACCTACTAAAAAGAAGTGAAACTTCAATGTAACTGATGATCATGAAAACATATATATTAGTCGTTTCGTTTATAATTTGGAGTCAATGAGGACTAATCATATGAAACCATCTTAATGTGACTCAATAATCAAGTAGTTTTCGCACTTCTCCCTGAACATATTTTTGTTGTATGATGATACAATATTAGTTACGTGGAATGAACTAGGCAGAGCAAGATCCAAACACGTAACTAAAGGTTGGTAGTCAAATGATTCAACCACTAATCCTCCGCTTCAATTTAGGGACAAAAAGTTCGTTTCTAACTCATAAACTTTTGTTAGTTCTCTCAAAACGTAAAGGCAGAGTGTGTAATCAACGAAACTTCAATGCACGAGGATTTACTCAAAAGGGGATCATTAAATAACTGATGATAAACTCTCATGCATAGTTGAAATAAGGACTCAGGAGATAGTCGAGTGAATAAAAATGAGGAAGCAAAACTTTTAATAAGCTGTTCGGGTGCATGAATCAGATGTAAAGAAGGTATAGGAACTAAGGTTTCAGATAAGTTACGACGATCGGACTTTGGTCCTAAATGAACGGAATATGGTTTACGAAACAAGTGTTAGGTGACTGCATAGATCTTGTGAAACCTTGGGATACATGAGACAGAAAGATCATGTGAGACTGGTAGAAAGGCACAATGCTAAGCTTACTTTAACTGTTGCTACAAAATGATTGTCAGTGTGACATTGAAGGAATAATCATTAGGACGGTCAGATATGTATGACGTAAAGGTTAGAATATACACCTAATATCTTAAACTATTTCGTTGAAGGTGGATCTAGGGGTAACAAAATCAACTGCAGCAGATAACGAGAAAACAGATTAAATGAATGAAAAAACCAATACATAGAGTAATGAATTGTTTACAGTTGACGAGGTAATTGATAAGTATAATAGGACTACCGACATACCCGTGACTAGTTTTTTCGTCTACTAATCATACAAATGTTGGGGAGTATATCGTTTTACGTATGAAGTTCCGACCAATGAAACTAAGTGACGTGATTCGACAATCTTAAATGTGAGAAAAGATTAAGTCCAAATTTGTATTAAGTACTAATGTGTAACAGAAAAGAAAGACTAAATAGACTTGAAAATCCGTATAACATGTTAAGTACGAAGAGAACGTGTGGAATAAACAATATTAGGATCATATATAGGGTGGAACAGCCAGAACATGCTTCTTCACAGGACATTATTGCTTGAGAATAAAAAAAGGTTTGAAAATGAGGAAACACTGACAAAATACCACATTATCTTTCTTAGTATTTCGAAAATAAAGCAAAAACAGAGATGGGCTGTCAATAAACAAAGTAAGAAACACTGAGTATAGTAAGCGTTGTCAGGATGCTAGTGCTATTAATCGAAAATGCAACTAGAAGGTATGAGGATATTAAGGTTCGGTATTAACCTCTATCTACAGGAGCAAGAACAAACTATTTACATTTTTGAAGGCTAACGATATTCGTGCTTATAAAACGCATTCATATCAGGGAACTAAATTGTGGTCAGTCTGACATTAAATGACTAAACTGGTTCTGAAGTAATTTTAAACCAAGTTTAGTTGTACAATAAAATTAGGAATATTTTCACTCATTTGGTCAAAGCTATAAATGATGAAATCTTCAAAAGTTCGAGAAAATGATAGAAGCACGTGAGTGTAGTGAACTAAAGTCCATACACAGAATTTTAGTGCTTTAAAAATAAATAAACAAGCATGTTTGTATCGCAATGGACATGGACATAAGTATATGATATGAAACTAACCGATCTCCATTTGTCTTTTTATTCGGTTCTTGCAGGCGTCTCTGAAAGCAACTTGAGCTTTGTTATAGTCGGTCATAACTTCAATAAAGTTCCGAGAAATTGTGGAGTACTATAAACGATGAGCGAGGCACAGGACAACTTTACCTGAGTCTTTCTTATCCGTAAATCCGCTGATGTCCTGTCAGAGTTTTCATCATACTCGATGTTCATTTCCATTTCTGCAAATAACAGATAGTAAAATCACTTACGCTTTAGTTTCGCACGCACCTTGTGTGCGATTGTCTTAATTTCAGCCATAGCATCTTCAAGTTGAGCCTTCGTAGCTGCAACACAAAGACTATTAAAAAGTTAAAAACTACCTTCGTCTTGGTTAGGCGAAGAAAGTATGTCACTATGTTTATTTTTTACATTATCAACAAGAGATTGAACCCGTTCAATCAAGTTTCGAATTTCCTCGACTTGAGAGAAAAAATCATTCATGTACTGAGACCCATCAAGGGGCAAGGAAGTGTCGGGCAGGTCATTTGCATCTTCAGGTTGCGCCTGAGGGACATATAACAACTATATTACACACTTACAGCCCGAAGAGCGCCTATTAAGTCTTTCGTCATTAAAAAGCGGCCGCCCTGAAAATAAATCTCCCGCGCTTATAAAAACAAAAATAACTCAGTCACTGAAAATATTTTCAGAATTTCTCCTTATGAAAAACTGAAGTTACAGGTAGTAAGATAATGAGTTTAATTAAATAATATGAAGCGGCATTATTAATCACTGTGCGTCGTCGTTACTAAATACTGATGGATATAATCTCTCAAGAAATATCAAATACTCCTCCTGTTACGTCTGCATACATATCAACATGTTTTCTACTAACAGTTGCAGTCGTAAGCATCTTCTTCAGTCGTTATTTTTACAACTTAGCAACTCAACTTAATTTCTCCTTTTCAATTATATTTCAATCCGTCTTTAATAGCGAATAACTTTCAGGTTTGTATTCTCGCGTATTTTTAATAGCCGTTTTTTAGTTATGGAGGCTGGTGACATCGTTTTGCTTCTTCGGATCATTCAATTTTAGTTTTCTCTTTAATATCCTGTTCGCTTATCGATACTGCCGTATGTTGGAAGAAACGTGGTACAGTACGAAAACTGCTGACTTTGTCATGATGTTTCTGTTTTGTGGAACTCTCACGATAGTAGGGTGTCTTTCATTAAGTTTTTTTCAGATAATCGCCTTGTTTGTTAACATGCTGTTTCTCAGTCATGTCTTGACAATGATGCTTGTTTACGTCTGGAGTAGAAGAAATCCATTAGTGAGGCTAAACATATTCGGGATAATAGAAGTAAATGCTCCATACCTTCCCTGGGTGTTTTTTGCATTTTCTTTCCTTCTTGGGAATAATATGATGGTTGATCTTATTGGTAAGGAGGTTTTCATCATTATTAACTGTTTAGGTATTTTTGTTGGTCATCTTTATTATTTCCTCGAAGATGTATATCCTAATCAAGTGAATGGATTTCGAATACTCCGTACGCCTGAATTTATGTAGGCCTGAATAATTAATGCTGACGTGTATTTTTCTAATATTAGGAAATATTTGTTTAATAGACGACAAATTAATCGTGCTTATGAGCCTCTCCCAGAAGTGGGAAGACCTGGTGGCTTTAATTGGAATGGTCAGGAGTAATCTCACCGTAATAACAAATAGTTTTCTAATTTATCTTTTCCTTATACCCCTGAGTATATGTTTTGGTTGTGTAAAGTTTCTTCTCTTGATTATTTACTTTGGCTTATTATTTTTATTGCATGGTTTTGCCAGTCTGTAAATGTTTATTAAGACTGCCTTACACTTTTAAGATTATCAAACCACACTATTGCTACTTTTTATAAACTTAAAACAATTACAGTAATGTTTTGAATTTTTCAAGAATAACAGTCAGTTATACGCATTGTATGTTTCAGCACATGTGCACATCAACTAAATTGTCACATCCCACCATTACAGCGAGGTGGAATTACCAAATCCAAGAGATTCTTTAGTGATGATATTAGTAATAATATAAACGATAAGGCATAGATCTACTTTGAGAAAAAAAAAGTGGATTAGCGTGATAAAGACATTGACAAACCTCTGGCTGTGTAGTGCGATCTTTTTCCGTTTAAAATGAATCTGATTCTTAATACAAATATTTATACACACAACGAACGCAAGAATATGAATATTTTACCGTTTATTGTATAATTTTTGGCAAAAATAAGAGAAAATCGGCCGATACTGAAAAATCCTAAATGTATTTACTAAACTCTATATCTGCGAGCCTGACAGTATCAATAAAGCAGTGGCTTAGTAGTCAGGACATTGGACTTTTATCCTCTTGATCGTAATTCGAGTACAACTCCATCTGCGTTAGTTTGGACAAGCATGTAATATCGTTAGCCCTCGCACAAAATCTGGCTGAAATTTGGATACAAAAACCTGAACTCCACATATGGTTGAGTTGTAGTATTCTCTCATCTTTCAAACAGAAGGAAAGATTTGTGTTTGATAAATAAAGATAGCTCTAAATATCTCAACGAGTGTATCACCACTTCTGTGACACAAATCACTTATTTATACTACGAAAAGTTACCAATATTAGTATTTAATTATGCTTCGTTACAATGTGCTATAAATTAGAAACATTTCGGTTTGTACGTAATAATCAAAATGACATCACTCTCAAACTTTAAGCTATCTTAAGTTAAGTTTAAGTTTGTATGTTTAGTTGTTGAGAAAATATAAACGGTACACTTACAACTAAATAGAGGCCCACAAATGCCCTGGTACGGTCGACAGTAGGGAGAGTCCGTTCTCCCTCTCTAATGCCCTCACACGGCCACGCGTATACAGCCTCTGTCAAGGAAGTCCTACTCACCGCCTCGTAGCGGGGGTGTTTACGAAAATGAGAGGACGAAAAGCGAATGTCCGGCGCTTTAACCGGGCCAGTGAACACGGTGAGTCCACCTTAGGGAGTTGAAAAACCCTGATTCCAAACCAATGGTGCACATGGGCTCCAGTATCCTGAAGGAATAAATGGCGTATGAACCAATTGTTGGTCATCGGATACCATGGGACTGCATCTCCTTACGATGCTCCACTGCCTTGTGGATCAGACCTTCAGGTCGATGGCTCCGGGTGTGGCCTTCTAAGAAAACCACCTGCTTTTGTTTGAGCACCCGAGCAGTACCACAGCCCATATACAAATAGGATAGAATGACATTTACTTAAAATACTATTCACGCTTCGATTAACAGTCAAACAATTTACATTATTTTTTACCACGTCAGTTATTCACTCTCTTTTCCCCTTTTAATGGAAAAGCAACGCATTTATAAAGAAACAAACATAAGGTTGTTCAGTGATATGATTCATAAAAACTTGTCAATCTATGATTCATCTTAGTTTTAAAAGGTGGCATGTCAAAATTCTGTGAATGTCGACTATATCTTAGTAGCCTTGGGTGTGGTATTGCAGATAGTAGTCCACATAACCTGACTTATCACGTTGCAGCCTTGATTTAAATCTCGGAGGCGAAGGAATAAGTACCGGAAATACAGGTATGTTTCACGCAATAAACAATATTCATTAATATTTAAAGCCATCGCCTCTACATTGCTAGCAGCAATTTGGGATTGTGTTGTTAAAACTAGTAAAAGTATCTTTCTGCATCGGCTATTCTTCACCTACGCAGGGCCTTAACAACCTGTGGTGTAAAATACTTTAGACAGACTAATCTGATCATCCATTGTCATGAAACAGTCTCCATTAATATGTACTGCATAAAGAAACACGGATTATCATCCGATTCGTGGAGTCCCAGCTCACGATAGGCAATAACATGTTTTGAATTGAGATTATAAATCGATTAACGTTAGACTCCCATTGATACCGATAATAACATTGGTGTCACAGTTCAATATGTTCAGCTAATTTAAAAGAAACAAATAATTCGGAGTCAATAGTCATCTACTGACTAGTCGTACAGGTAAAAATAATTTTGCTTGATACGCTGCAACCAAGACCGTCTTATTGTGGTTCATAGTTTCTTGTCACCAATTTTTCATATGCTTCGGTTTGACTTTTATCATATATCTTAGGAAGTTAGACTGTTCGAAATGTATTAGGCTAACATATCACGTAGTCCTGATAAGATGTCTTACTACCCACTCTATATTTTTAAGATAATTTCTTCATCTGCTAACTTTTATTCGAAAAGGCTAATTGTATTCTCTAATGAAGTCTAGGGTAATTAATTAACATCAAAACGGATAAATTATGTATTAACGCACCCACTTTCTCAACTATAGTTGGTTTACATTACTTTTAGAGATCATTAGCTGGTGCGGCTTTTAATTTTTAATAACTCACACGTCAAAAAATTGAGTCCGATCATAACCTGGTCAGTGATCGACTAAGCATCATAATTGGAACTAAAATAATCTTACTGTGCAAGCTACTGACTAACTAGTTTGCTCCATGTTAAATTCATTAACTAATACCTCAGTATATCACAAACAGCTAGATTTGGTTTTACTTATAGCGCACAGATAGTTTCATGAAACACTTGGGCGATGAAAGTAACTCAACTAAGCTGTTTTCTATTGAATTTCACCGGGATGGTCTCATTTCTTGGAGATTTTGTAACATAAGAAACGGTGCGTTATTTTGTATGTACTTTTAACTAGTTTATTTTTACCCACGAGTGGATCTCTACATCAAAAACGAGGAAGATGAGATTATCTGCCATGTATATCCAGTTAACTTAAGCTTTGGGTTCACAGATTAAATTGGGTACGATCCGTAATATTGTGAACGAAACACTTCATCTGACATGCAAGAATTTCCTCGGGTAAACGGTATCCGAAGTTTAACAGACCAAGCTCGTCTTCAATTTACACGCTGTCATAACTCAACGATTAGAATGACCTATTTGCAACATATCTAAATGCTTATAATGTGATGCATGATTGGTACCCAATCGATAAACACTCTAGTACATGTGTTTCAGCAGGCTGCTTGGTTTGATGTGGAAAATTTTATAACGACAGAATCAATCCAATAAAATAGTGATGTGATTTAAGTGACCAAATTTTTCACGAAATCGTTTCAGTTGGGTGACGACTGTTTTCTGAAATACTTTTGCTTCGGATTATGGGGTCAGTTTTGCTACCAAACTATCAGTTCGCAATTATACTAATATCTTTTGAGTCTGTTTTAATTCCATTACCATCTCGTAGACCTAGTAGACTTTACCACTATGAAGACAGTGATCTTGTAACTCATCGCTTTTTCTATCATTTCACACAAAATGATGACATTTAAGAAGCGAACTCCTAGTCAAGTTGTGTTTATTGGTAGATGCGCGCAAGCCTTATACTTACATTCATCACTGTATTGGTATTGAAGATATAGAAACATTCGGTAGAACAGATGTGATTGAGTTGTACTTTTGGATTATGTGGTGTGCTCAATATCAACCAGTCATACCTACTGCATCAAACGAATATGATTCCTACTCATTGGTCTCATGAACGATCATTTGTTGCCTTTCAAAAACGGTCACAATTGTTCGAATAGATAGACTAGTTTAAAAATGAGCGTAAGTCAAGTGAT